AAGTAAGGGGCACCTACTAACAGGGTGGTTAAATAAATTAACCAAGATAAAGGGCGTGGCCCATTGTAGGCACCCAGTACAAGGAAGCTGAAACTCTGAGTTCATATAGAATCCTGTTGCTTTAATCCTCTTCTCAAACGCTTGTCTTTTGACCTTTTGGTAGCTAGCTCATTTGTACTCATCTCTGCGGGTGGGTTAGGAGGAAAATGAGTCTTAACTCAGCCATGTCAATTTAATGCAAGTCTAATGTGTGCAGCTATGGCACATAATTTTAATTGGTAATAAATCTGCCGCAAAAAGTTTAGGGCATAATCTAATTTTCTTGGTCCAGACTAACAGTGGGTTTAGAACTGGCTTGCATGAAATTCAGTAAGTATCCTATTATAGTTTCTCTTTCTGGGTGGGGAAAACAAAAGCCAAAGTCAAAATTTTTGTGGACTGAAATGTGTTCATTTCAAGCACTTCCCCATACAGAAGCTACCTTGGCCTCACTCCAAATAATCTAAAAATTGTTGCCTACCTCCAGACGCCCGCTGCAGTTCTGAATTAATGCTGCATGTAACTCCCATTGCAAGTTAGAACAGGCTTCTGACAAGCCTGCTGGATAAAAGGAGAACTCTTTGAAGGCAGTAGAGAAGTGAGCCTCAGCCTGAACTTGGCAGGCCTATTGATTAAATAGGTGATTTAGGAGATGTTTCAAATGCTGCTCTTCGTTGGAGAGCTCATTGGAGAGGTCTGTCTGCTTCAGGAATAAACATCCTGTGGAAGCGCTGGCCTGCCCTGTGGTTTGCTGTAATTATTAATAGGGGCCCCTTTCACTCTCGAGAGTCCCCGTTTGTCTGATAAATGTTGTGGTCATTCCTTACTGGCCCTTTTCAGAGCAAAGCCCAACTCTTTGAAGATATAATCTCTGCCTTGATCTAAGAAAAATGACCTTAGTTTCCTATAACAGACTCTGGCGTCCTCTCTTATAGCCATTAGAGTATGTCCTCAGAGCAATAATTAAGAGCCACATATGATAATGACGTTCTCCTTGTGGTGCTTTTCTTGGTGAAAGCAAATGAGGGAAAGTCATAGGGACTCATCTGAGACAGCAGCCCTAATCATGTTTATGCTGACAGAGCAATTCCCAGTCCTTAGTTACGTGCAAGAATATGTACCCACATTGGACAGTGTAGAATGAAGATGCAGAGAGATCTGACTGTTCCTTCTGGAATGTCATTCCATGCTTGAAGTCTGAGCACTCCCTGGTCTTACACAGTGCTTTTGCAGACTCGAGTCATCTGCCTGCCTCTTCTTCAGGAGAGGGTGTGCTGTGGTGTGTCAACTTGGGGGCAGAAAGATTGTCAAAACCATTAGAAATGCTCTGAGGGTGCCTGTGGTGACAGCAGAATGGCTGCTGGGAGGAGGAGCCACATGGCAGGACCCCAGCCACTCACTAAGGAAGGAGGGAGGGCACCCAGTTTGTCAGGGTGGAGCCAGGCATCCTGAAGAGTCTGAAGCAGATTGGAGCAGGTGGCTTCTTGAGAAGCCTTGTCATGTGAGGGTGGAGGGAGGAGGAGGAAAGATGATCTACCTGTTTGCTAATGTCCTTTAGTCTCAACAGCTCCAGCCTGAATCTAGTTTCTATTCTGTCCCCAGCTGCACGGCTTCCTATCTGCAGCCCAATTCTGAGAAAAGGAAAGAAGGTCAAAGCAAGGCAAGGGAGCACAGAAAGGTTTGCCCTCTGGGGGGGAAATATGCTTGGAGAGCCCTTCTCCTGGGGAAAAGTTTCACCAGCTAAGGAGAGAACAGATCCGTGGGACCAGAAGAGAACGATGGTACGGTGTTTGCTTCCAAATGGTCTTTTTGCAGCCTTTCTCCCAAGTCTCCCAGGGGGCAGGTGGAGCTCAGGACAGAAAGTTTCACCTCCTGGGTAATGGTGCCGTGGGGGGTGGGGGGGATATTAGAACATGCGGGTGTCCCTCCTTCCAGAGGGTATGTCTAAAAGAGTCAGAATTCTGACATCCTAGTTGAAAACACTCCCCAGAGATCTCGTGACCCAGTTCCCTCATTTTACCCCAGGACATTTAGGTTCAGAGTTCTTGAGTGACCTTTACCAAGATTTCACTGAACGGCTAACCTGGGTGCTCACCAAGCCACGGCAGTCTAAAGGATTTTAAAAGTACAAACGGAGAGTCATTTCTTCCCACTGTGAAGAACTGTCATGAGACCTGAATGCATGACTCTGGAAACAAGCTGCACAGACTTCCTGCTGGCCGGGGAGCTTGCTCACAGGGATGCCCCTGCTGCCCCTGACCGGGATCTCCTGTCCCCAGGGAAGCAGTGAGCGGAAACCTTAGGGACCATTTCTTCATTTTTGTATTCTTTTAAAAAATGTATTGATTAGAGAGAGAGAGAGAGAGAGAGAGAGAGAGAGAGAGAGAGAGAGAGAGAGAGAGAGAAAGAGAGAGAGAGAGAGATTAGCTGTCTCACTTATTTATGCATTCATTGGCTGATTCTTGTATGTGCCCTGACCGGGGATCAAACCCAAAAACTTGACATATAGGAACAGTGCTCTAACCAACTGAGCTGCCTGGCCGGTGTAATCCTGTATTCTTTTGCTGAAAGAGTCTCCTTCCCCCTAATTTTTATAAGCTTCAGGTCCCAGAAAACCTGAATCTTGGCCTGCCTGTCCCACATAATAAATCTAAACATCTGGTGCTCCAACATTCTCTCCTGATCAGAAGAGATCAGGTGAGCCTGAGGATGACTCAGCAGAGGCTGTTGGGAAAACAGGCTGCGGCCTGTGAAAAAGTTGGGTGAAGCATAGATAGCATTTGAGGGCTGGCTCAAGTCATGTCTCAAACTTTCACCCCTCCTTGTGAAAGTTTCTATCACTATTCCCTCCTTGCCCAGACCAAACTTGCCTTTCAGATCTACAGAACTGAGATTTTGGACCTGGCAAGAGTCTTATTTTGTCATCATCCCTCCTTTTGTAGGCTCTGAGAATGGCTAAAGCACCTCAGGTTTGTGAATTCCCCTCCCTGCAAAGCAAAGCTACCGTGTTGGCCAATACGTCAGCAGGTAGGAATAATACTTGGCTCACTTGTTAGATATAATCTGCCTGGTGTGTCCCTGTGTGGGTGGAAACCAAGGCGTGATGACTACCTATCTCAGTATCAATAAACACAAACCACTGCAAGTCTGTACACCTTCAGTGACCATTATGAACCAAACTTCCGAGTTGCCCTCTGAGAAGACAGACGATAAGATACAGTGCCTGCCCACAGTGTGTATGTTAGAGAACATGGTATAAAAAGCTTGTCCCTCATTTGATATGAATAGCTACCAATTATTCAGCACCTACCACATTGCATTATATTTTCTCTAGTCTTCTCAACAAGTCGCTAAGGCAGGTATCAGCCTCAGGTTGTTGATATGGAAACTGAAGCTCAAAGAGCTAATGTGATGAGTGCAGCCCTCAGCTTTGGGAGGCTAAATGTCAGAGGAAGACAGAAGGCAAGGGTGTTGCAAACCTTCCATTCTTGGTTTCACACAGGCCTGGGTTGAAATCCCAATGCTAGCACTTGCGGGGCTTGGGAAAGCTACTCCCTGTCTTGGCTTCTTCATAAGACAACTGGAAAGATGAAATGAGAGGAGGTGAGCATTCATCATTTCCCCAGAAAGTTCGTGTGCAAAGTGACTCATTTTGGCAGAGCATGCTCATCCCCTTGATCCTGTGCCACTTCCTCACCAACTTCTGGTTTTTACTGAACTGTCACCTTCTCCACCTTCTCAGTGAGACCTTCCCTGTCGAAAAGGCCAACCCCACCCCAACTCTCCTCACCCCTTTCCCTACTTTATCGCCAACTAATATATTAAAAATTGCACTTATTTATTTTTGTCTGACTTGTCTGCCTCCACCCACAGAAGGTGGAGTTTTTGAGATTTAGAATCTATATTTTTTCTGTATCATCCCAAGCACAAATACAGATTGGTTAAAAGAATGAATGAAAACAAAACTAAACAAAAAACCCCAAATTTTTTGACACCAAAGAATTTGGCTTTTTCCTCCCTACCTCTTTCCCCTGGGGACAGTACTTAAAAAGCCTTGGTTTCCTCATTTGCAAGATAATGGTTTCTATTTTGAAGGCTGCTGGGATGATTAAGTGACATATGTATAAATACTGGCACATAGCAAGTGCTGAATAAATGCCTGCTATCATCACTTAAAGTAATCTGACCAGTTGTTTCATGAAACTCAAGATCTGAAGTGTCCAGCCTGTGTTTCAGCCCAGTTATCCTCCGGGTTGGACCATAAACAGTAGAATAGGTGTGAAATCGCCCCGTGTTAGAATCCAAGGCGGCTGTTAGGTTTGCTTCACCATTACAGTCTCACTACTGAAGGCAGCTCAAATGACTTGCCCAAGGTCACTGCCCCAAAAGCCAGGGCATGCAGGATCTGCACAAATCCCGCCTCCTGAAAGTATACATTACACTGCCCCTTCTTCCAGTTTCTCTCTACAAGATGGGAGGGTGGCACTAGTCTTCAGCCAGGCTTGGGAAAGCTGCTCCCTGTCTTGGCTTCTCCTGCCATTCACATAACTTTTTTGACACCCAGTTTTATGGCTCGCATAAATGCAAAATAAAAAATCCACTCCTCACAGCTTTGTGGCCAGGAGCACCGGCGCGGAAAACGCTTTGGAAACTGTGCAGCGCTGTGTGCATTACCCCTGCAAGAGGCAATCACACGGAACCCCCAACTTTCCAGTCCCAGAGCCCCTGCTGCATGCACTCCTAAGGCGGCAGAGCGAGGAGGAGAAAGGAGGCTTAACCCCTGAGTTGGTCTGGGCGTTTCTCTTGGAGGCCAGGGAGGAGTTCCGCCCCGCCCCCTCCGACTCCCCACCGCCTCCCCTCCCTTTCCCTCCCCTCCCCGCGCTCCAGGAGGCTCTCTCCCGCCCAGGCCCAGCTGCGCTCCCAGCCAGGCAGGCTCGGCACTCCACGGGCGGGCAGCCAGGATGCAGGCGGCCAACAAGGAGCACCTGTACAAGCTGCTGGTAATCGGCGACCTGGGCGTGGGCAAGACCAGCATCATTAAGCGCTACGTGCACCAGAACTTCTCCTCGCACTACCGGGCCACCATCGGCGTGGACTTCGCGCTCAAGGTGCTGCACTGGGACCCGGACACGGTGGTGCGCCTGCAGCTCTGGGACATCGCAGGTGAGAGCCCAGGAAGGAGGTCCCCAGCCCCCAGCAGAGGAGTGACGGCCCAGGGGGAGAGCCAGATGGAGACTCTGGGGGCGCTGCGCCGGAAGGGACTTTTTCCCGGTGGGTGGGTTGGAAACTTGGTTGCAAAGAAAACAAAAAAAGTTTCTCAGCTGCTGGAACCACCTCCCACGCCCTGTCCGGGGAGCCGTCAACCCTTCGCTGGTCTCTCTTGCATTCAGTTCTTGGCCTCCAGCTCATTTTCCTGGCTCTGGGCTCCCACAGTCCTGCTGGGGACGCGACCCTGAGTGTCCTGCCCGTCTTCCTTGCGCAGGCCAACCGAGGGGCAGCCCCCAGAGGGGTGCACAGCGGGAACCCAGGGAGTTCCCGGGTAGAGGAGCTTACCAAGTCCTGTCTTCAGCCACTCACTTTATTCCAACTTAATTCTCCCCTCAGTCAAGCGAGTCTGAGGTTGTCTGCTTTGAGCAAGCCAAAGACTTACAGAGTTCAAGTATTATTTATCTCCCCTGCACCTTCTCTCTCTCTCTCTCTCTCTCTCTCTCTCTCTCTCTCTCTCTCTCTCTCTCTCTCTCTCTCTCTCTTCCCTTCTCCCTCCCTCCCTTTCTCCCCCCCCCCCTCTGAGATTATGTATATATTTTAGGGGCACTTTTGTGCAAGGGTTTATGACATTAGCCATACAATTTCTTGATTTGGTCCTAACATTTTCATTGAGAAACCTAGAAAACGAGACGTTTCTTTGTAGTGTTTGAAATCAGAATTGGATTCCAAGGGTTTGTACCAGGAGTTAGGCACAGGGGAGTGTGAAGATGCAAAGTGTGTACTCCAGAGTGAGTGCCTGGACTGAGGCTGTTGGCAACCTGGCCCTGTACAGCCAGCCCCTCGTTACCCCATCCTGGCTCTGCCACTCAGCAACTTCAGACAAGTCCCTGCAGCTCAGTGCATCCCTGCTCAGTGGAAAGGGGTTGGACAGCTCAGGAATCTTCCTGCTCAGAAGTTTTATCTTGTTTGTTTTGTTTTTAATTTAATTAGTTAATTAATTATTGTTGAAAGTATTAAAGATGCCCCCTTTTTCTCCTCCATTGACTTCCTCCAGCCCGTCCCCTGCCCCAGCCCCAGGCCCTTACCATCCCATATATGCATGGCCTCATCTGTGTCCATAGGCCGTGCATATATGCATACAAGGTCCCTGGTAGATTATCTCCCACCCACCCACCGACCCTCCCCCAACTTCCCTTTGAGATACAGCACTCTGTTCCATGCTTCCATGTTTCTGGATCCACTGTTCATCAGTTTATTTTGTTACTTAGATCCCACATACGGTGCTCAGAAGTTTTAAGGTCCTCTGGGATTCTGGGGTGAATCTCTTCAATCCCACGTCTCCTCTGATTGTTTTACTTCAAACAGCCCCACTTCACCTCTGACTGTTTTATGGTCTGTAGCACCAAGAACCTGGCCCAAACTAGCTGCTTCTCTTTCAGAAGATAGGTTCATTTTAGCTGGTGCATTCTACTGGAAAACACTTTATCATGGCTTGGAGCAAGAACAAATGTGGAACAATTTTGAAAGGGCATTTCTGATTCTGGGGACTCCAGTGCCTCTTTCATCATCAGCTGCCAGGTCTTATGATAAATTCTTATGAAACACTTTTGGCATGGAGACAGATGCGTGCATTGAGAGTCATCTTCAGCAGTTTTCATGGCACAGGGGTTATCAGAGACCGGAAGATGTCATCAGTCACTATCTGATCAGGCTTTTCATCCAGAAAATCCACTATGCATCTGAGCACTTTGTTGTTGCATTTTAGTGTCTGAAACTCTTTTGGATGAGTTGGAAGTCTCCAGGGTTCAAGTTTAGAATTAGCTTCCTGTTTGAAAGAAACTGTGGCCATAATTACTTCGTGTAAATAAGGATGTGATCCCAGCATGTTATAGAATGCCCATGGGTCTCAGTGTCCTCCCCTGACAGGGACGAAAGAAGGTCACGGTGATTAAGAGCCTGAATTCCAGAGTCAAGCTGCCTCTGTCTGAATCCCTGTTTTATCCCATCTGTTGTGGGTGATTTTAGATGAGTTCTCTAACCTACTGGTCTGTTTCCTTATCTTAAATAGGCAAAATACTTTCTCCCAGCAAATGGGAGGTGAGCAACCAACGAATGCTAGCTAAAGATGATAGAGAGAACCTTCTATCTGGGAGAACTACAAGAATTATTGTTATAGTAGCTGCTTTTTTACTTTTATTGATTTTAAAGAGAAAGGGAGAGGGAGAAATAGGAACATTAATGATGAGAATCATTGATCAGCTGCTTCCTGCACTTCCCCTACTGGGGATCGAGCCCACCACCCTGGGCATGTCCCCTGAGCAGGAATGGAACCATGACCTCCTTGTTCATAGGTCGATGCTCGACCACTGAGCCATACTGGCCGGGCATTTAAAAAAAAAATGTATATGAATGCTAGGCAAGAAACACATGATATAAATGTGCTGACTAAATTATAGTAAATTATAGTAAATTACGTTCCTATATTATAGTCCATATACTCTGTTTCAAAATACCCAGCACCATGTTCAGCTTTGCCCAGATTACAACATATTATCATGAGCAGTTCAACTCACAAGCTTCGAAATGCCTCCGTAAGCCTTGATTTTGGACTAAGGTTGTGTAGAGACTATAGTCACAGAAGCTGGGGTAGATAAGAACTCTGAAGAGCCTTGGAAAGTCACTGCTGCAGACACGGTGGTGTGCATGCAGCATCTCAGTAGGCAGGCTTCTTGTCCCAAAGCTGAGGTTCTACAGTAACCTGTCCTTGGCAGCCTCCATCCCTAAGGCCTGTAGGCAGAGTCAGAAGTTGGGCAGCAGGCAAAGCCGGTTGGGGGAAATTGGGCCATTGTGGGAAAGGATGTCTGGAGCATAGAACTAACATGTTTTAGGCTGCATAGGTAGCCCTGTGAGGAATGAATTCATGAAATCCAGTCTCAGCTGCTCAACCAGACTCCAGTTAGCTAAATATACTTTACAGTACCTTCAAATCACAGTCTCACTCTTCAAACATAGCAATGCTTCTCCTTCTCCTTTGGCCTCATCTCTGGTGTGTACCTGGAAAGAACTAGTGGCACTTGCTTAGAGAAGGTTGTGGGTGTGGATGAGAGAGACCTTCCCTGTCCTGATGGGATATTAGGTTAACCTGCTATAGAGGGAATCTTGGCTCAGTTACACTCTTGATATTCATTTGGTTCAATGCCAAGTGGGGTCTTATTTGTCCAACACATTCCCATAGTATCTCTCATATGGCCACTTAGACTGGCCAGTCTGATCCTAAAAGACTCCAGGAAGTACCTTTCAGGACATGTAACTGGCCTTGAATCCAATGGGATAAATCCCACAAACCCCACAGGAGACTCCCAGTGATTCTACTCTAGAGAAGCAGCTGGGATGGCTGTGGGTTCAGAAGCTCTTGCTGGAGAGAAAAATTGAGTCACTGTGCCCAAGGCTACACAGCTAATAAGTGGCAGAGCTGGAGTTGACCTAGTTCCTTCTATCTTGGAATCAAGCCCCACTCTTTATGGCCATAAGCCTGTGAGTGCCTGGTGTACAGGTGGGCCACCGGGGATATGCCCTCTTTCCCTCTTAAGGCCTTGCTTCTTCGGTAGGTGGGTTAGCTTTCCTTTTGCCTCCTATTTCTAATGGGCTTCTGGGTATTATTTAGTATCACTGTGCAGACAGTGATGAAATGAAAATGTGTTTATGAAGATTTGACTCTAAATTTTAGGTTTTATTCTTTTTAGAGATTTATAAAAACACACACAAAAAACAGTAAACAAAAAGTTCACACTTGAACTCTTTCTTTCCCCTCTTCTCCAAATCTTAATGCTATTAGCACTTTCAAAGAGAATTGTACAATTTTCTCTTGAGCTCTTGACATGCTTTGGGGCCGAGCTGTGGGGATTGGGGCAGAGGACTAGCTAACATTTCTTAATTATTTATTCTTACAGCTGTCCACACATGTTTAATTTTTAACTTCCCAGTAAATTAGCTCTTTTTATGGTCATGCTGGAATTTAAAGACTTGGCATTGAATCCTGCACCCAAGTTCCTAACTGCTTTGCTCTACTTCCCACGACTTAAAAAAAAAAAAAGGAATACTTTTACATGTTCTAAATTATGGATATTCTAAATATATAATGCTTGACATTAGGAGGCAAGCCATGGAATATGGCTGGACCTGAGTTGCCACTCGATTGTTTGATTTTTCTGTGATATCATATTTGTGCTATCTCTGGGCATCTGTATCGGTTTTAATATATTCTGTGTTCAGGTAGTGTGTGGTCACTTATTCCAACTCCTTATTCCAGGTAACTTGTGCTTACTTGGCTCCTATGTCTTGGTTTCCTGTCTGTTAACTGGGGACAACAGCAAAATCTGCATCTTAGATTTGTTAAAGGAATGAAATTAATTATTTCATGTGAAGATGTGCCTGGCACAAAATAAATGCTAAATAAATGTTAGCTATTACTCTTATTGTAATTATTATTTCGAACCATTTTCACAAACATTTTCCAGCTTGTTCTTCCCAGCATCCCTGAGGATGTAGGCAGAGCAGGTGGTGTTAAATCTGTTTTGTATTAGAGAAGATTAAGAGTCAGAAAGGCAAAGGACTTGCCCAAGGTCACAAGAGCTAGCAAGAAGCACAGGAACAGTAGAAAACCCAATTGTAGACTTAACCAGTGTTGTGGAAAATGAGTTAAGTGGGTAGATTATTTAGAGCACAATTCTTCACTAGGTAAACATTTCACCAAGGCTCAATAATCGAGGCCATTATATATTTAAAACAAGATCCAACTTATAAGAAAAATCTTTTCCTGTGGAGCACCTTGTACTAACTTTCCCAGCCTAGGCTGAGTGACGAGAATTGCCTGTCCACCAGGCAGAGTGAATAAGGGAGGCAGCCTGCACCTAGAGCTGGGAGCCTCGGGACATGGACTCTCCACACTGGAGGCT